CCGACTGCCTGATAACACGAAACTATCTACACTGAGAACTGATGCATCCGACAAAGGACTCGGAGCGGTATTATTGCAGGAGCATGATGGTAAACTTTCGCCAGTTAGTTATGCTAGCAGGAAACTAACGGAAAGCGAGAAGAAGTACAGTACGATCGAGAGAGAGTGCCTCGCGGTAGTTTGGGCCGTCCGAAAGTTCCTGATATTCCTTTATGGAACAGAGTTTACATTGCAAACCGACCATCAGCCTTTGGTCTATTTGAAGACAGCGAAGTTTCTCAACGACAGAGTTATGAGGTGGTCGATGTTCTTGCAAAACTATGGTATTAAGATTGAATTAGAGACTTGTTATAAACTTGATAGACATTCAAGAGACGGTGTTTGATACTCATTGGAAAAGATTTGCGTTTTGTTATGAAATTTTGTAAATTTCTCAAAAAAGGGAGTCATGTCACAAATCTTTAGTTTTAAAACTGAACGCTAGGGGGAGCTGTAGCTCTGCGGGGGTTGCAAATACAGGATTCGGGGAAGAACCAAGATGGCTGACTTAATATAAAAGTTTATATTTTCCGTTGTTTATTACAATTTATAAAAGTACGTGAGTACAGTAGTTGTATGTAGTGTGACCAAGACCGGTTTCTGAAGAATTCCATGACACTCATCATGACTTTGACTTTGTCCACGTCTTTGTTCACCAGCTCGACCAAACGTCCTTCCAACAACTTCCTGTATTTGTCCACAGTCATGACATTTCACTTTCCTATATTCACAAACTTCAGTCTCGTGATAAACCTTGTCCGGTTTATTAATCTCCATACCACACTCTGCATTTGAACACAAGATGGGCGCAAAGGCACAATTCGCAATGAGTGTCGACATCTTCAACACAGGTTAACTCAGGACATCCCCGACTGGCATAATCATCACAATTAATCCTTAGCTTAGACAAATAATTATTCAACACACGGGGTCGATGAAGCGTATCAACACTCAAATGTTCTTTACATTCGGGGGCAAGTTTGAGAATTTACTTTCAGATGTTGAGTGATGCAGGCAAGACAAAAGACATGCTATTATTTCTACACATCCTTGGTTCTTTAAGAACATTGTAGTAGCATCTTCGAACCCAAACCTCCTATTCACACGGTTCCTAAAAAGGTTATCTATTTTTGCCTTCCCTTCACAGGTTCACACTCTCTTCAAATTCGCACTCAAATCAACCGACTTTGCAATGCTGCTTATCCTCATCTCAACATTCGATTTATCTTCCGCTCCTCTAAACGCATCTCTTCTTTCTTTCCTTTCAAGGATAAAGTTCCTACGTTCCTGAGATCTGGTGTTGTATACTTATTTAAGTGTCGATGCTGTTCCGCGTCGTATGTGGGTCAAACCATGTGCCATTTACACACCAGAGTATCGGAACACCTAGGACTCACTCCTATAACAGGCCAGCCGTCATCCAGTCCAGTCATGTCTAGTATTTTCTCTCACTTAAATACTACAGGGCACTCTGCCAACTTTGACGACTTCAAAATTCTTTCCTCTTGCTCAGACACTTGTGAATTATTGATTCACGAAAGTCTTTTTATATCTAAACTCAAACCTACTCTTAACGTCCAGGGTAGCTCTATTCCGCTTAACCTTCTGTAATTTGCCGTTTTCTTGTGTCTGTTTTGTTTCCTCATTTGTATCGTCCTGTCTTACATACACCCTCTTATCCTTTATTATCTTTAGTAACATAACACCTTGTAAATAGATTATAATTAGCTTATATATATTCACATCTCGTGTAATTTTATCTAGTCTGAAGATGTCTTAAGTTAAAGACGAAACGTTACAATTAAAATTCTTTACAATCTTTTAAAACTGTTTTAATGGCTTTGTTATATGTTGGGCTCTCATATTTATTATACGAATTCGTTTTCCGCCTGGCAAATCTCTGGCAACGATATTGTAGTAGCAGATCGAGCAGTGAAAGTTTTCGCCGACATCTTTCTCAAACCTGCTATGTTCGTAACCGTATTCCTCTTCCGTCGGGCAACAAGCCATTATTAGAGACCTTACAATTTTAGGACGGCAACGCGACGGCAACGGCTACATACAATAGATCATTGAAAAGAATTGAGTAATATTTACAATATATGAATAATTTAGACATTGTCCTCGCTCTGTTTACAACGCTAAATCACAGATTTTCATGTCTTTCATGTCTTGATACAACGGCTGCATTCCAAGCCACAACAAGTGCAACTTCAAACTGGGTTTAGCAGAACTCTTCCCAACCATAAAACACACGTCTTCAACTTCTAAGACTGTATTAAATTCATACGATTGATAATAAACGACGAACTATCTTTACTACCATTTATTTGAACGAATTTGTTTTGGCCGTCGCCGTCGCGTTGCCGTCCTAGGATCGTAAGGTCTCTATTTACAGCGGACGAAACCTTGCTATGCTTTCTATTGTAAGAATAGAATTGATTACAAGTTGCTATAAGATCGTCTCTCACAACTAACAAGTTGTTGAAACAAGTTGCAACAAGTCTGTTGAGCTCAACAACTTTGTAGCAAGTTGTCAACAATCCGTCAACAAGCTGAGAACAAGCAGTGTAAAGATATCTTGTTGAGAAGTTGTTGCAACACAAGTGTGCTGCAGGCGCCTGATCTTAGATCAATGCAAGCACAAAATAAACAGTCTGATGATAATTCATCAACATACCTTTCACCAGAGGAAACAAAATTTAGTGATATTCTTATTGCTAAAAAAGAACACAATTACACAAAAATTCGATAGAAATAACAAAAATGAACTTACCTTTTGTTTTAGAACAAAAATCCCTTCGTTATAACACAAAATTCCGGGGGGGGGGAGGGGTTTGACTAAAATTTTCGCCTTTTGCAAATCTGTATGAATGAAATCCTCGCTGAAGCAGGCCTGGGGCGGGCAAAGGCTAGATGCGGGCTGCTAGCAATATAGTTGGCAGTCTAGTCCCCAAAATAGAAACTCGTGAATTAAAGTTTTTACTTCTGTGAACGGTAAACTTGTATTACTAGTAATTTTTTTACTTTAAAATAATTACATTCATTTCCAGTACTTTCGCTTGTTTGAGCCAAGGTAAATAACAATACGAACAACACAATGGCTTTAATTGTTTTTGTTTGTGGAAACACCACGTAAATTTATTACTGCAGTAATAAATTTACGTGGTGTTTCCACGAACAAAAACAATTATATTTTATCGCCATGCAAACATTCAAAGAACTTACAATGGCTTTAACTGCAACAAAAACTGGTTTAAAGAAGTTATTTGGGCAAAACTTAGCTAAACTGGACAAGAAAATATGCAAAAACATTTTGATCATAACATGGTGTTGGAATCAAATTTTGCATGTTGCTTGGAGAAACTTTGTTATTTGTATTACTTTACCCTCAGTCAGAAATCCCAACTTATATATAGGTAGAGAAATGCGTGGAATACTAGATTCCCCTATTACGTTTTTGTAGCGCTTTGCATTGTGGTTATAGTGTTATCACTGATATTCAAGATGGCTTATTTTTTATCCTGACCCGTGCAAGAACTTTTTAAAAAAGCTAGGATCAGGTGCGCGATAGCCAACAGCAAAATATTCGCGAAAACATTCAATATTTTCATTCGAGGCCGCTATCTTTATCAGTGATACCACTATAACCACAATGCAAAGCGCTACAAAAACGTAATGAGGGGAATCGTCAATTTACCTCTTAACAAAACGATGTAATATAAATTTGCGGACAAATGTTAAATGGGTCTTAAATGTCAAACATACACAGATTTCCTTAACCTTGTTGACGGTAGAACTTCAGCAACTGCTTCACACTTGGAGTTATTCATGCTGGGAAGATACTTCCATGTACAACCTCCCATTGTAAAACACTCCACCGAACTGAGATAGTCATCATCATTCTCACCTCCCATGACTACAATTGTATTTCCAGTAATAACTGCACAACATTTATATCTCTTCTTCAACATGGATGGCAAGGCTGTAATCTGGCCCGTCTTGCAGTCATACATGAAAACATCATTCAGAACTTGATCATCCTTATCACGACCTCCAAGTACAACTACTTGATCTCGCCAACGAACTGTTGCCATTTCCTTCATGGGATGTGGTAATGATGGCAGCTCTTTACACACATTCTTCTTTGGATCAAACTCCAACACACTGTCTAAAATACCACGTTTATCATGTACTCCTCCCAAGACCAAGACTTTATCTTCAAAAGGCTCAGCGCCCTGACAATCTCGTGGCTGGGGCATTTGGCACAACTCTTTCAGTGTGCAAGGTGAGGTAAGTTGCAATTCACTAATCAAGTTAGACGTTTTACACTCGTCACGATTATATCCACCAATGTGAATGACACGCTGTTGGTAAACAACAGTTGAATGATCATCACCTGCATAAGGAAGTTCGTCAGAAAATTCCATCCATTTCAAAGGTAACTCATCGAGATTCAAAGTTTCTATTGTCTTACTATGTTTTCCCCCAACAACAAATAGTTGATCATTATAAATAAATGATGAAGCTCCTTCATGTCTCTCATTCATTGCCGCCACCTCATACCAACCATTCGTCTCACAGAAAAATATTTCTGCACTACATCCTGAATCGCAGCCAGAGCCACCAGCAATCAAAATATCTTCTTTTGGTGTATTCAACATTCCCACACTAGGAAATGGAAGTTTGTTACGCGATTCAAGCATGTTTAGCTTCTCTAACATTAGACTCATCATGACTTTGAACTCGTCCACGTCTTTGTTCATATTTGAGAGATTTTCTTTCATAGTTCTCATTTCTTTCTTAACTTCGTGTTGGTCATGTTTCATTTCTTTATAACTCTTCTTCGATGCTTCCACTTTTTCGTGGATCCTTTTATTCATTCCCTCTAAGCTTCCTTCCAATTTCCCCACAATTCTTTTCATTGCAACGTAATTAATCTCCATATTTTTTTCCATCTCTTTTTCCATTGCTTCAACTTCCCCATCGAATGCTATTAGACTTCCTTTCACTGTACCGATATCTTCTTGTATTTGGCCATAGTCATAAGATCTCACTTTCCTGTATTCACAAATTTCAGTCTCATGATGGACCTGGTCTTGCTTATTAATCTCCATGCCACAATTTTCATTCGAACAAAACACAGGAGCAAACTCGCAATTGGCAACATGAGTTTGGAGGTCTGCAACACAAGTAAACTCAGGACATCCTCGACTGGCATAATCACAATTAATCTTCAGCTTAGACAAATAATTATTCACCAAACGCGGCCGACGAAGCGTATCAACACTCAAATGTTCGTTGCATTCAGGGCAAGTTTGGGAATTTACTTTCAGATGTTCACTGATACACGCAAGACAAAAGACATGTTCATTATTTCTACACATCCTTGGTTCTTTAAGAACATTGTAGCAGATTGAACAATGAAAGTGCTGGTCAACGTCATTCTCAAACCTGCTATCGTCGTAGCCATAATTCTTTTCCGTCGGGCAACAAGCCATTATTTACAGCTGACAAAACCTTGCTCTGCTTTCCATTGTAGAAATAGATATGCCAACGATCTTCCTTTATAACATTTATCTCACAATGTAAACAACTAAATCAAAAGTAAGAAACAGGCGAAGTTTTTAAGACCTTCTGTGTACACTTTGGTTTCATTTTGCAATAACAAAACCTTGATTATTCAAAATACTTGGAACTATGAAATCATATGATTAAAACTTCAGCATGATATCAGTTTTCTTTATTTGAGCACAATACATAATCACATGAGCGTACTCAGACTGCATAACTTGACCAGCAGGTAGCAACCACTTTTGAATCTACATCATATAAAACTCTGTATTGCCATTCACAGATAATGGACCGGGTTTTGGGCGACTTTCATACATGCAGTTCACTGTGGGTAATATACAAATCATGTTCCACAATTTGAAACAGTCTGTATCTGCGTTGACTTTTGATACTGTATGCAAATCATTATTTACTTAATGCAGAAGATATGCAGCAATGGCGTAGTAGAATATTTTAAATTAGAAGGGGAGCGGATTGACATTCGAGGAGGGCACTGTTGAAACTAGGGGGACTATGGGGCAAACTTCCCCCAGGAAAATTTTAAAAAGAGGGAAGGCAATGCTACACTTTCTGGTTCAAATTGAGGAATTTACACCACAACTGATATTTCATAGCAAAACATTTGATTCATTTATATGTTCTGTTATGCAAATAGTTATTCACTTAATGCAGAGGTATGCAGCTGTGGCGTAGGAGGATATTTTAAGCTAAGTTTGGTGTGGGAGGGTGAAATTCGAGGAGGGCACTGTTAAAACAGGGCTATATTGAGCATACTTGCCTAGGAATATTAATAAAAGAATGAAACAAATTTTTTGCCAACATTTTACCGTATAAATTCTTCAATTTTAGCCAGAAAGTGGCACTGTCTTGAACACCTTCCCATCCCCCTGTTTTAACAGTGCCCTCTTCGCATTTCATCCTCGCCCACCGAACTTTCTATTATAATAGCCAACACATGAAGGATAATTGAACTCAAGACTGATAAAAACTATCTGTAAATGGAAACAGCCCACACTCTTAGAAAAGAAAAAGGACCTATTTCAAATACTACCTTTATTATGCCTATAATTTCTAGATCACTGCGCATATATAACATATGATATATAGGAAATATACTCACGTGAAAACGTTTGGGAAGGGCAAGTCTTCTTAGTTTTCGTGTTCCAAACGTATTTAAATGAATTTAAAAACAATTCAACTAAAAAACTAGCAAAAATGTAGAAGAATTTCAGTACAAGTTGTTCATAGCCAAGAACTTTGCCGACTAACACGAAGCATGTATTTGTCTAAAACGGCTTAATTTTGATCGCTTTGTATGCGGTGCACGATAAATTAGTGTGTCAAGCTGTAGTTTTAAATGTTTAAGAGATACGTTTATCTAAAACGATAGCCGTTTAGTCAAGCAAAATTTTAGGTAAGAAACTTAGTTATTAAATATTTTACTCTGAATTTGTTTTATTCGTTTCTATCAAAGGATTACTTTGAAACGCGCTAAATTCGTAAACTATTCGCTTAGAATTTTCATTAGGCCAGACACGCGGGACAGATTATATAATTAAACAATTTCACTTCTCGTCGCTCATGCTCACAATATCAACACTTTTAAAAAGTTTCGAACTCTCTTGTTAAAATACAAGCTTGCTGCCCAAAATGAATATTTTAAACTTGGCTCGCACGCGTTACACATGCCGTACTGGTCAGGTCGTTAAATATAAAGGCGAAATCCCGTCTTTGTTAATATTTCCTACTAAATTTCATCTTGCGTTTATATGAGAACCGAGCTGATCCGCCTTACCGAGGTCCCGCTTTGTGTGACCCAAGACCTCCGGTAAACGGGCTTGGTAGTTTTCCATATAAACCAGGGCGAAGGGAGAGAGGGCGTAGAAACGGCCATACATCGAGCGGACCCATCCGTGATGCGGGCTTCGCGGGGGGTAAGACGTTCTAATTGTAAACAAATATGGCTACGCGTATATGACCCATCAGAAGGTATGCTGAAACTATTGCTTCATAAAATATTACTTGTGTAAAATTTATATGTTTTTGTTACTTTCAGCTATTATAAGAAACTTAAAGATAAGATTTAAGTAACGAAAAACTTTATTTCGGGTGTTATTTTATTTCTATACTCTGTAACTCTGTTTAATTTGGTGGTTAAAAATGGCCGTCGAAATGTTGTAACTGCTTCCTGATAAAAAACCAATGATTTCCAAAACCTAAATTATAGTTTGTTATTAAGTTATGATGAAAACCTTTGCGTAGACAAAATTATAGAGTGAGCAAACATGAGACAGATAGGTTTTGAACCTTTCAAAGTTCGAGGTCGAATTGACAGTTGAAATAGTACCAAACTCCAAGCTGAAATGTGCAACTTTATCATGTTATTTTTGTCAATTTTGTTCACTGGCCTTTGCTAAATTCACTTGCAATAGCTCGACATAAGTTACAACATACAAACTGAGCAGAGCCCATGAAAAAGCTATCCATATCCCTACAGTCATGCAACTTCCTTGCTATTTAGAAGTGGTTGATACCATGCAAGATTTGGTATTCATATCAATTGCTAATCGTATTTGTCAGGTACTGACACCCTGACAAAATCAAATTGGTTTGTGCTGCAACTTAGGCAAGCCTGAACATGTCTTCATCACACTTGTCATCATACTTTTATTTTATTTATTCTTTTTCCCGACAAGTCCTAACAACCCTGGCAATTAGTGATCACCTGACATCCCTGACATCCCTGACAACGCTGACACTCCTGACACTCCTGACAACCCTGACACTCCTGACAACCCTGACATCACTGACATCACTGACAACCCTGACAACCCTGACATCACTGACAGTCCTGACAACCCTGACAGTCCTGACATCACTGACAACCCTGACAACCCTGACATCCCTGACAACCCTGACATCCCTGACAACCCTGACAACCCTGACACTCCTGACATCACTGACATCACTGACATCCCTGACAACCCTGACA